CCCGTTTTTTAAGTGATGAGGTACTAATTTTGGTGAAACGCTTTGCCCACAGCTCTCAGGTTTTTAGCGCTTGTGTGTCTAATCCTTACACAAAGAACTTAAGGTTTGGCAGGTTTTTGGTTTTGTCAAGTTCAGCCTCTCTCAGTCTCCCCCCCCAAAGATAAATCTTAAAAAACCAAAAAAACCCAAAACACTAGTGCAGCACAAAATAACCTATTACAAGGCCTATTAACAGACAAATCAGCACATGTATCATGCACTGAGAACCCACACACACACTGAGAATTTAAGTTATAACCAAAAGCCAGTCAATTATAGTGTCAGAGGAATTTTCTGCATCAGTTTAGTCTGTAAGCCTTGTATCAATAGACACTGACATTTTCTTGAGATACTTGAAAGAGCACACCTTCAACAAGCTCCTGATATTGTGTCTATATCGACCCTTTCTTAGGTACCCATGCTCTTCCCCAAACACTGGTATTTAGTACCATTTCAGATAATGACAAAGGCAACACAGGACGGACTTCTCTCTTCTAGAATGGGCCTCCCATTGGTCCAGCACATCCCTGCCCTAAGCAAATGTCTCGGATACCCAAGCACATCTGAAATGCTTTGATCTCTGAACATTCCCACTGAGTCTCTGATACACCGATAAATCTGTTTACTCAACATGTAAATACATACCTGTTCTACCTAAAGTGAACTTACTACATTCATTCAACAATAGAGTAATATTTGCTAGGTGATAATAATAATATAAAGTAAAATTTAAACACATGTGTAGGTTGTTTGTACTATCACAGCTTGATCTGCTCTTATTACTTCTGCCAGAAGTTGGTAGTCCTACTTCTTACTAACCCCTAAGGTCAGCACTGTAACCCCTCTTCTGCACTTGTTCTCTTTGCTCGCGCTTCCATTTCCTTCACCATCATTTCACAGGCAGTTAGATGTTTCTGTGACCAAAGTAACCCTTTTTGACAAATACCCTCTCTCTGCTGATGCATAAATGAGGCAGTTATAATGCAAACTAAAAAGGGTGTGTTGGAATATCATCAGGCAAATAGACAGCTGGAGTCTGGAATCTGACAGACCACCACATGGTGATTTGCCCGTCAGCTGCAAAGGTCACTGAGCCTGGACTGGTTCCTAGGAAATGCTGAGGAGAAACCTATGTTGTAGTCCATCTGGGTCCTGGTAACACTAGGAAGAAAAGGAAAGATCCTGACAGCAAGATATGGGCTTCTGGAAAGAAGAAGAACAGAATCTGAATGCCCAGTTGACAGGACAGTGACAAAGCAAGAGATCAGATTCATCAGACCGGAGTATTTCTAGATAAAGATACTTGTACACGAGGGCTGGAGCTCACCTGAACACAGGAGCCAGGTCACTGGTACCCAAGGATCAAGAAAGTGGAGTTTTAAACTGAAGAGAGGGGATTAGAAGAACACATGGTTCAAAAGCATGGCATTGCTATGACAAATGAAGACATGGAGATTCTGAGTCATCAAGCGAAGATGCTGAGAAGAATCAAAGAATGAAAACAGAAACACAGATGACTTCAGAGTAAATAGGGTGGCAAGAAGAAAATCCAACAATACACTGCCTTCTACACAAAGGGGGGGCGTAGAAGAAAAACTGGATCACTGGAACATCAAGCCTCAAACAAAAGCACTAGCAGTAGTCATATCAGAAATCTAGTAGAAGGTAGAAAATTAGTGGGTCGCTATTTTGAAGCATCCTAGGATACAAATACACAGGGAAGACAGGTGATGACAAAGCAGTATTATATGCTACACAGAGTTTAGAAACAAATCAAAACAAAACTCAACCTCACCAAGCAGCAGAGGCCTGGAGCCTGGTTGAACCAGGAAGAGTGAGCGCTGGGACCACCAGGCATAGCTGGACTATGGCAACACTGACACCAGCACACCAAGCGAGATCCGCAAAGGCATGGTGCAATATTGTACAGAGAGAGATTTCAACTCCTCCCACACAGACTAAGCAAGCGGACTACAAAGCAGAGACTGAAATACCAGCTAACTGCCAAAGGCTGCTCCATGAAGCTGCTGGTTAGGGACGCTGCATGAGGAGCCACTGCCTTTGGCTCAGTCCTGAGCAGCAAGAACCATCTACTTCTACATCCTACAGCTGCAGAACCACTACGCATCAGTGACCATAACACAGTTAAATTGAGCATCCCTACAGGAACAATGAAAACCAAGGAAACTACTACTGTTGTGCTTAACTTCAAAAAGTGTAACTACATAAAAAGGAGAAACCTTGTTAAAAGGAAGCTCTAACAGACAGCTACGAGAAATAAAATCTGACTGGCAGCATCAAAGCTGCTTAACAACAACCACATGGAAAGCACAGAACCAATATTCACCACCTATTAAGAAAGGCTTGAGAAGGGCAAAGGACATCAGCATGGCTCATCGCAGGTTTCTAGAAGCAAAAAGGCATCTTTCAATAAGCCTACACCAAGTCCAAATGAGGAAAACAGAAAAGACTGTAAACTCTGGCACTTCAAATGTAATAAGGCAGGCCAGAAAGAACTGGAGGAACAGCTAGGGAAGGCAATCAAATGAGTAATGAATCATTTCTTCAAACACATCAGGAGCAGGAGGTCTGCCAGAGAGTCTGAAGTGCCAAGTGATGATCAAGGTATAAAAGGAGATTCACAGAAAACAGGGCCATCACAGAGAAGCTTAACAAATTTTTTGCACTAGTGTGCATTGTGGAAAAATCCTGGGAGGTTCCCATGCTGGAGTCCTCCTTTGTGAGGGACTCAATGAATGTGTCTGAATATGATGGGACTATTCATGGAACAAACTGACAAATGAACAGTAAGAAGTGTTCAAGACCATACAGTATCACCCCAGACATCTAAACAAATTCAACAATGACGTAGCTGAATTACAAATGACAGTACACAGCCTCTAACTTGGAGCTGCCTTGGTAAGTGAGAATTGGGAGTACGGCTTTAAAAAAAAAAAAAAAAGTGGAGATTTGAATAATTTAAGACTGTAAAGGACTGATGACTGTTCTGGATAAATCAGGACAGACAAGAATGAAGATCAGAATTAGGAAACAACAACACAGCTTTTGCAAAGGAAAAATCCCTCTCTACAGACTTCTTGGACTTACTAGGAAGGGTCAAACACAAAGGTTCAAAGAAATGCAACAAGAATGATCAAAGATATGGAACAGTTTCCATACAAAGAAGCTACAACCCTTTGAGTACAGAAAAGATACCAGGAAGTAAGAATACAATGGAAAGCTACAAAAACACAACGTGTTGTCCAACGCAACAATTAGGAGGCATTAAATGGTAGAAGGCGGTAGAAGCAAACTTCAAACCAAGAGAGATAGGTTCTCTAGTCACAGAGGTAGCAGATGTTTGAAACTGCTTGCCAAATGATGTTTTGAAAGCTGAAAGTTTATGTGGGCTCCAGCAAAGACTGGACAAGTTCACAAAAGATACATCCTCTGAGGGTTACCAAATATGTAGAGCCACATCTGGCTCAGGCAGTCTCTGAACTGAAAATGGCTGGAGGCTTGGAGAGTATTGGGGGAAGTATCACACGCTTGCTTTGTTCTGAGTCTTCTCTAGGCGTCCAATTAAAGCCTCCACTGGAGGCAGGACACAGGGCTACATGAACCTGATGTGAGCCGATACAGCCATGCCTATGTTCTAATCACCTCTTTGCAATACGTATTTGCGTCCTGTGAGAACACAGTGAAAGTCTGGTGTGTGAGGTACTAAGTAACAAACATAAGCAACCTGAAGAGGCAATAACACCTTGACTGCCAGAAGCTGGGAGACTGCTCCAATTTCTGAATTTTTTTCCCTAGCAATCTGCTTCCAGGCACTGTGTGAAAGGGTATTGGGCTCTTCTTCTGACCCTTATGTGTCAGTTACTCATGCTGGAATTTTCCTCCATATTCTCCCAATCCAAACTGGTTTGGTTGTGTTTGGGGTTGGTTTGTTTTTTTTAAAAAAACTCCCCAAACCAACAATAATCCTAATGCTACATGTACTTTTAGATGCTATAGTCTTCAGTGCAGAGACCCATCACTGCTGCCTTAGCAGAACACTCAGTATAATTTCTGTGGCTATTTAAATAAATTACAAGCAACAACATGCAAATTAATCCTCCTGCTTTACTGATGGGGATCACAAGATACCGCTTATGGACAAATGTTTATTAAGCAGCATATAAAAAAGCTTAATTAAAATCTCCCCAGAACAAAACAAATCTGAAGCCAATTACTTACACTTGGAGTGAATGACCCAAGCATCCTCTTTCTTCATAAGGTAAACCCTCCTTCCCTTTCTCCCTTACACCCACATTCTTTGTGGCCACACGACGCAGGAGATGAGAATTTGGGAAACTTCAGCATGCCTGTGGTAAGGCGCACATTCTTGGGACGGTTCAAGAGAGAACAGACCAGAGTTTGAATTTACTTCTAGGCAAGTACAGAAACTGTAATAATTACTTTGCCTCCTATCTGACTTACAC